AACTCTCGGCTTAGTAGTAACCGAAGTAGTTTCTTAACTCTCGGCTTAGTAGTAACCGAAGTAGTTTCTTAACTCTCGGCTTAGTAGTAACCGAAGTAGTTTCTTAACTCTCGGCTTAGTAGTAACCGAAGTAGTTTCAAACTCTCGGCTTAGTAGTAACCGAAGTAGTTTCTTAACTCTCGGTTTAGTAGTAACCGAAGTAGTTTCTTAACTCTCGGCTTAGTAGTAACCGAAGTAGTTTCTTAACTCTCGGCTTAGTAGTAACCGAAGTAGTTTCTAAACTTCGTCGGAGTTTTCACGGCTTTGCTTGGTTACATTTGGGCCTTTTGAAGTCAAATGAGCGCCTTCCCTTTTTTGATATCATGACGAGGACATCCTGCCCTCGTATTTTGATGTAGCAATTACCAACGTCATAATATAATACTGTAAATCATAGCTGCAATTGACGTAATTACATTTTCTCTTGATGGGTCGTCGGTTAGGTTAGGTTCGGGCAATTTAGTCTATCGTATTTGTGACGTTGTGACAAGTGGAGAGGACGGGGTGTAAAGTGAGGCAATTGTTTTTAGATTTAGCTACTGAGAATGAAATGTCCATGTAGCACGGGCTATGGCGAGCCCGTGAAACTCCCTCGTCAATGAGTACACCTAGATAGGGGGGGAAGGGGGGGGTCATGTTCGCTCACATAAGAGGTTTGTGGCCCAAGAGCCTTGTCTTGTTAGATGAAAACCCCGCCCCACAGTACATATTCCCAGATGACATACTGATCAGAAATCCTTCCCCCAATAATTGGAAAAATTGAGTATGTATGTGTATATGTATGTATGAATGTGTGTGTATATGTATGTATGAATGTGTGTGAATAAATCAATACTAAAATAAATAGCCTTGTACAGAATGTGTGGAAGCATCGGAGTGTGTATATATGAATGCTACACAGTATCTATAGACATCCATATATGCTGAAACCCATGTGAAGAAGGGGTCTCGTAGCCTGGTGGATAGCGCGCAGGACTCGTAATTCTGTGGCGCGGGTTCGATTCCCGCACGAGGCAGAAACAGATGGGCAAAGTTTCTTTCACCCTGAATGCCCCTGTTACCTAGCAGTAAATAGGTACCTGGGTGTTAGTCAGCTGTCACGGGCTGCTTCCTGGGGGTGGAGGCCTGGTCGAGGACCGGGCCGCGGGGACACTAAAGCCCCGAAATCATCTCAAGATAACCTCAAGACAAGAACCTCTCACACTCACAGCTCCCTGACAAGAGGGAGCCAGCTTAGCTGCCAACACCCACACAACGTGTCGGCAAGGCGGACAGCCCGCCTACTTTCATACCTCTCACTGTATCTCCCACTTCTAAACTTCCTTTGCCGCTCCTTCCTCTTTACTCCCCCGAAAAAAACTGGTTTGTGAACATGACGCAAGAGTGATACTTTAAGAAAGTGCTAATTCACTTTCGACTTGAGAAATGGTCTACTTGAGAATCGACTGGTCCACTTGAGAATCGACAATGGAATCGACTTGAGAATGGTCCAGGACGGACCGAAACGTCGTCGTCCCTTCAATTTCTAGTGTGTGGTCTGGTCAAAGTGCTAATTGCCTGGTGAGATGACAAATATAAACATTGTAGCCAATGTACGCCAGAATTACGGGCTATTCATGCCCGTGTCACCTCTTGGGTGGCTTAATCTTTTATCAATCTAATCTACGCCATAAGGTAACCAGACCTTTTGCTAAGGTATAAGGCAAGGTAAAGACTTGGGTGCAAGTTGAAAGTGTTGAGCCAGTATTAAGGAGTGGTGAAGCGTGACAGGCAGGCTGGTGGTGTGGCTGTTGTGGTAACGGTACGACTGAGAGCCTTGTGCTGGCCCACAGCTTCACATCTGATGCAACATTTCTGCCCCCCCCCACACCCCCCCACACACACACCCCCCCACACACACCCCCCCACACACCCCCCCACACACCCCCCCACACACACCCCCACACACACCCCCACACACACCCCCACACCCACACAGAGAGAGCTCGCGCCTCGACACTGGCTTCCTCCTAGCCTACAGGTACCTAGTGTTCACCTCACTACACACATGAAAGTCCTCTCGTAATGCAGGCGATGAGTCACAATAACGTGGCTGAAGTATGTTGACCAGACCACACACTAGAAGGTGAAGGGACGACGACGTTTCGCTCTTGGACCATGTCCACCTTGAGAACTTTGGGGACTTGAGAATGGTCCAGGACGGAGCGAAACATCGTCGTCCCCTTTACCTGCTAGTGTATGGTCCTGTCGTAATGTATACAGTATTGTATGAAAGAGTGTAGGTAATTGTGTACAACTGTGGCTGCTGTATAGTGGCGGCAGCCGTGAGCAGACATTACATGCAGGTGATGCAACAGGGAAACACCCTGGAGCTGGTCTGCGCTGTTCCCCCCCCCCCCCCCCCACACCTGAGGACCAGTGTTGTCCCCGTCGCAACACAAGTTCCCAGTCAACTTGGGAACATTTAGTTGTGTTGTAGACATTTGTGGTGTTAATGTGTAGGATGTTGGCGGGTCCGGCTCACGTAGTGTGACCGCCTGGAAGTCCACACCGCCCTGCCTGACGTAAAGTCTACACTAAAAATTCTATCTCAGTGTGCGATTGAATGTAGATGTAGTGTATTAAACTGGTAGTTGGGGGGTTTGGAGTGTTATACATGTGTAAAGGGTTGTAATTGGGGGAGGTATGTAAGGTGTTTGGAGTGCGGTACGAGGTATGTGTGTGTGGCGCCGGCAGCACAGGTGACACGGGGCTCATTGGGAGCCTTGGACCAGCACCTCGCCGAAGCTGGGCCAGTTTCCCAGTCGCTGTCTCGTGTGCGCACTACGGTACATGTGCAACACTAAATGCTCCTGCTACTACATACGCTGTGACCATCGCTAACGTTAACACGAGCGGGAAAGATAAAGCTTTTCCGCTCAACACTTGAGCGGAAAACAAAGCATGAAAATGGTGTTTCTGGCCATTGTGGCTAACATAGAACAGTTGTTTTCAATGGCCCGTGTGTGTGTGTGCTGTAATTGTTCTGTAACCAGTGTGGGATGCTCGGCCACTCGCGTCGTTGTTAAAGATTCAGCTACTCTGAACAAGTTGCAAGTAGCACGGGCTATGGTGAACCCGTAGTGGACTTACCTGGCACAGGAGCGGGGCAAGTAGCACGGGCTATGGTGAGCCCGTAGTGGACTTACCTGGCACAGGAGCGGTGCTGTGGGAGAGGACAGTGCTCAGTTCATTGAAAATAATTCACACGAATTGCTCAACAATATAAAGTTAAAGCTTGATACTGATAGCACTTGTTGTCGTAGTATTAAGACTGTAGTGAGAAGCGATCCGTAGTTACTTTTGCTGATTGAAATAAGTTTATTGAGGTAAAATACACGTGAAGGGATGAGGCAGCTCAAGCTATTCTCACCCCGTTCAGTACATCGTGTTAATACATACATAGACACACATCACAAACAATAAACATATTACCAAACATTCTGAGAGATAAACACACATTTCCTACTCTTGGTGATTGTCTTGTGTGAGCTGGGCAGTTTGGTGAGTGTTCAAATATGTTTGAGACGAGAAGAAATTACATCTTAAAGGGATAGAGTAGCTTAGGCTATTTCTACTTCCCTATGGTTATTGTAGTCTTGGAATAGACGTGGAGGAGGGGATTGAAGGGTAATTCTTGCACGGAGAGAGACGGGGGGGGGGGGGGAGGCCAGGGGGGGTGGAAGACCTGGAAAATTGCAAGATTGAGAGTTGGGGGGGAGGGAGTTGAAGAGACTAGGGGGGAGTTGTGGACAGTGTTCAGATCTGCCTGTGAATTACTGAACCAAGATGGGGTGTGCGCGTGTGCGCGCGCGCTCACCTAGTTGTACTCACCTAGTTGTGCTTGCGGGGGTTGAGGTGTGTGTGTGTGTGTGTGTGTGTGTGTGTGTGTGTGTGTGTGTGTGTGTGTGTGTGTGTGTGTGTGTGTGTGTGTGTGGGTGTGGGTGGGTGGAAGCCCTACCATGTCGAAGGGTGTAAATCACTGACGTCTTGACTGTCCATGACATGAGGAGCTGTGAGGAGCGGGTTATAGGAATGGTTGTGATGAGTGCTTGTGGGGGGAGGCTGGGGCTGGGGGGGGGGTGACTGTGGGCAGTACGGAGGTGTCACGGGCTAGGATTTTTTCCCCTGGCGAGTCATGGATAGTGTGTGGAGGGTGAGGCGAGTGGTGAAAGTCTCTTCCCCCCCGCCCCCGTCCACACATGTCATCTCACATGGGGTCCCTCGATTGTTTCAAGCGCGGGTTGGACATGTATATGAGTGGGATTGGGTGGTTATAGATAGGAGCTGCCTCGTATGGGCCAATAGGCCTTCTGCAGTTACCTTTGTTCTTATGTTCTTATCTCGCTCACTCCTCATCCCTCACAATTTTACCTCCAAGCAACTTAATGTCTTCCTAAATGCAAGTAAAGCGCTGATACTTTGATATTGTGGCTTCCTGACTCTTTCAATACCTCTAGTGTGACGCTTGACGGGTGAGCAGTGTGAGAGAGGTGGATAAACAAATCCACAAGGGCCGTGACGGGGATTCGAACCTCCGTCAGAGAGGTGGTGGATGTCTATATGGTTGAGTGTGTATAGTGTGGTGTTGGAGGGGTTCACTCGTGCCCTTTTGAGTAACATTTTGGATGGCCCAAAGTAATTTATCGCAAATATGTACATAAAGAGTAGCGTGCGTCGAAGTTTCATGTTTATTGAAAATAAGTTGAAAACTAAACATGTGTACTTGTACATAATTTATAAATAAAATTGTGTGGTGTAATTTTGTATCGTTTAAATAAGTGATAAATGTTAACCAGACCACACACTAGAAGGTGAAGGGACGACGTTTCGGTCCGTCCTTGACCATTCTCAAATAGACTTGAGAATGGTCCAGGACGGACCGAAACGTCGTCGTCGTCGTCCCTTCACCTTCTAGTGTGTGTGGTTTGGTCAACATACTTCAGCCACGTTGACTCATCGCCTACAGTGATAAATGCTAATTTTTTTGACGTGTTGGTCATTGCATTAAAGGACAAGGAGGAGGTAGTTTTAAGGCGCCGTGTGAGTGCCTCAGGTGTTGGTCATGGAAGTCTTAGACTGATGAAGTGGACTAGTAGTGTCTGGAGATGTCTAGTCGGGCCCTCCTGTGTGTGAATAAGTGAGACGAAGTGCCGTGCCAACAGTGTGAGGGAGCGGCGAGGGGTGTTGCTGACCTTGGCCACGGCACCTGGCACCTTTGGCACCATGGCACACTCTCCAGAAGATATCCAGAACAACAATTTTCAGGTCGAACCTGACCCGGTGACCACCTCGCCCTCCATCACCGGCATTAACATCAATGAACCGGTCACTTCGACGTCTGTATTTACCAGTTCCTCGGGTCTGGCACAAATTGTTGCCAAAAATCTGGAGAACATGACAGATGACACGGCGCCGAATAGCTTGGGCAGCATTACTTACAACGACGAATACCTCGAGGACCCGATGCCAGACTTAACTTTTGAGACTCTTAGAATTCCAGAAGAGTATGGCGACCCCTCTTTAGGATACGAGTTTGTCAATCGTGTTGAGTCAGGCGGGCTGGACAACTCTGAAGCCCTCTTGAAGCAACTGGAAGTGTTGGGTGTAAGAGTCAATGAAGATTACATTTCGCTGGACTTCGACTTGACTACTTCGCGCAGCGCCAGCGTCAGCAGCGTGTCTGAGACCGGGAGCGCGGGAGACGACCACGACCTACCTTCCTTGGGGCTCTTGGATGCCTCTGCCTGTCGCAGGACCTCACCAAGTCAACCAGTATTGGCCTCCGCACGTCACAGAGAACACTATTTTGAAAAGCTGGCGAGATTACCGGAGGACGAGAGAGATGAAGTGTTTTCCGCCATAGAGGAAATGGACCACGAGGTGGCCGAGGCAGAAATCTTACCTTCAGGCGGTGTTAAAGTAACGTATGAGAACTACAGGAAGGAGTACCGCCCGAGGATCAGTCCCCACCACAACTTCTTGAAGTTCCTGGAGACGGTACACAGTGGGGCTGCGACGGAGGACGCAGTCGAAGTGTTCCCCGAGGCGTCTAGCCCGCCACACACCCTGGAAGCTCGCTACAGGCGGGCACTCCTAGCCTTCCAGAGAGGACTCTTGAGATCAGACCTCAGAGTAAGAAACCTCTCCACGCTGCCCAGCAAGTATGCTCAGAAGCTGCGCAAGTTTTTAGGTGAGAAAATGTTGTATGGTATTATGTTGAGTGGTTATTCTAAATGTATTATTGACCACTGCTCTTGTTGTTGTCCATTGATGTTGCTAATGTTGGGTTCAGTAGGACTCCTGCTTGATGGGGTTCTGGGAGTTGTTCTACTGCCCAAGCCCGGCCCGAGGCCAGGCTTGACTTGTGAGAGTTTGGTCCACCAGGCTGTTGCTTGGAGCGGCCCGCAGGCCCACATACCCACCACAGCCCGGCCCGAGGCCAGGCTTGACTTGTGAGAGTTTGGTCCACCAGGCTGTTGCTTGGAGCGGCCCGCAGGCCCACATACCCACCACAGCCCGGCCCGAGGCCCGGCTTGACTTGTGAGAGTTTGGTCCACCAGGCTGTTGCTTGGAGCGGCCCGCAGGCCCACATACCCACAGCCCGGCTGATCCGGAACTTCTCTTAGAAAACCGTCCAGTTTTCTCTTGAAGATGTTCTCCTGCTTAGCTAGGGGACGTGTGCTTCCTCCAGCATTTTTCCACCACTCCCATAACCTGTCTTAGTCATTATCTCACCTTTGGTACCTGTGCATGCACACAGCACAAGCCTGTGTGCCCTGGGGATGCTAACCCAAAATAGCGTAATCAGTATACGCCAAACTGGCAATTATTAGGATAGCCTCCAGGCGGGACCTAGCCAGAGAAAATAAGGACCTTCAGAATAGTATATACATGGACCAGCTCGTGAGTATGCACACGGGCTCACCATAGCCCGTGCTACATGGACACTTAGTCCTGAGTAGCTAAATCTTTAACAACTTGAGTATGCAGCACCTGCATGAACCCCCACACACCCGAGAAATAATCTTTGTTACAAGGTGTAAACAAAGTTGTCTCACATCTAAGGGAACTTCCTCACACGGCTGAGTGAACTCATTCCCGTATGAGGACAGGTACGCCATACGCAGGTACGCAAATTCATCATACGACTGGTCACAATTTTGACAATGTTCAGATTGATTGATGAAGATTAAGCCACCCAAGAGGTGGCACGGGCATGAATAACCCGTAAGTGGTGGCCCTTTTGAGCCATTTCCAGTATCAATAGATGATACTGGAGATCTGTGGAGGTGCGACTGCACCCTGCGTGACGGGAGATGTCTCCCGTGGGAAACAACCTGTACTTGACCAATTACACCATCGAGGTGTGGTGTAATGTTAGCCCGTTGTTGTCGAGGAGCTGGAAGATGACTAATGAGGTTATATTATAATAACCCTGTCGTAGCTCAGTCGATTAAGGCAGTGTCTGGGATGCTCCCGGACGTAGGTTCGAATCCTCGTCACGGCCCTTGTGGATTTATTCTTTATATTATGCCTTTACAAGAACAGAACGGTCAGCAGGCACAGAGTTCAACCCGTTCTCGCAAATTTAATAAATCAATATTGACTTATTAAATATGTGCATAGGTGACATACTTAACATAATAGATACCCTTAAAAAGATTCATAGAAAACACCGACCTTACCTAACCTTGTTAGTATCTTAAGATAAGCATGTTATTGCTTCGTAATTACAATTATTACCTATACCTATAATAGGTATAGGTTAAGTAATAGTACCTAAAATAGGTTAAGTAATAATTGTAATTACGAAATAATAAGATGCTTATCTTGACATAGTAAGAAGGTTAGGTAAGGTCGGTGTTTTCTATGAAGCTTTTCAAGGTAAACTAAAATATTCACAATAAATTAGTATGTCACATATGCACTTATTAAATAAGCGAATATTGACTATAAGCAAGTGTGAGAATGGGTTGGGTCCTTGGAGCTGAAGCTCGACTCGGCAGGCAGAAATAGATCATAAATACATAATCACCTACGCATACACACTTACACAATTGTGTATACATGTATACCCAAGGTATGAACCTCTCCAACACTAAAATTATCATTAGTTCTTTACACACACAAATCACAGTTGCGTGATGCATCACATGAACAAATCCACCAGGGTCGTGACGAGGATTCGAACCTGCGTCCGGGAGCATCCCAGACACTGCCTTAATCGACTGAGCTACGACAGGGTTAAAAGGGTTGAAACCGAAGTTCTACTGAACTTACTGGAAACCGAAGTCAGTAGGACTTCGGTTTCAACTCTTAACCCTGTCGTAGCTCAGTCTATTAAGGCAGCGTCTGGGATGTTCCCGGACGCAGGTTCGAATCCTCGTCACTGCCCTGGTGGATTTGTTCATTACCATTAGTTCTAATATTTCTGGAATGGCATCGACTCTGCTGTAGTTTGTCGGCCAGTTGGTATGTGGTAATGTTAGTGGGATTGTGAAAGTGAAGGGGTTGTGGTAGTTGTGGGGGGGGGGGCGTTCCCTCCAGCTCTGACCCGGGGGTTTATACCTCATCTACCAACCCGTTCTCGCACTTGCTTACTGTCAATATAATGGCACTAACATGGCGTTGATGGCAGAGCGCCTTGCGTTGTGGCTGCCAACACAAGACGTCCACAGTGTTTGTCCACACAGTTACTTGCTGTGGAGAATATTGGCCATATTGGCCAGATACACAACAGTAATGTACTTCCAAATCACTAGTATTGAAGGCTCGAGTTTTCTTGCATGGTTCTATACCTTGAGAATTCTTCAAATACACGGAGGGCGGGCTTCGTAGTGTCGTACTCAACATGGGAATGAATTGACTAATCTATCCCAGGCCTTACAGGTTATTCATGCCCGTGCCACCTTTTGGGTGGCTTAATCTTCATCAATCATATCCCAGTCCGGCACGGGGAGACATCTCCCGTCACGCAGGGTGCAGTCGCACCTCCACAGATCTCCAGTATCAGCTCTTGATACTGGTAATGGCTCAAAAGGGCCACCACTTACGGGCTATCCATGCCCATGCCACCTTTTGGGTGGCTTAATCTTTATCAATCTTATCCCAGACCGGGCTTAGTTAATGGACTGTGGTGACAGACTACAGATAAACGGGTCGCGAGCGCTTTTGCCTGGGTTCGTATCCATTTACTTGGCGCCAATCCTTAACTGTAGCCTCTGTTCACCCAGCAGTAAATGGGTATCTGGTTGTTAAACGATTTGGCAGGTCGTATTCCAGGGAAAATTATGATTTAAGGACTTGCCCGAAACGCTAGACGTACTAGTGGCTGTAAAAGACGAATAAGAACTCTTGTATACCTGGTTGATACCTGGTTGATATATATATACGCATATACAGTGTATATACGCATAAAAACTAAAAAATTGGCAGTTCCCTGCCAAGGCGCATAAGTGTCCGGTGTAACTAAGAAATTGATCTTTGAGTCGTCCAGTAGCTGATGCCACTTGGTGGAGAAGTTCAACACAAGATCACCACCGAAGCGAACTCTCCTGGATACATATTGGCTACGCAGTAACTGATTGAAATTGAAACAAGTTTATTGAGGTAAAATACACAAAGGGATGCGGTAGCTCAAGCTATTCTACATAACATAAGAACAAAGGTAACTGCAGAAGGCCTATTGGCCCATACGAGGCGGCTCCTATTTATAACCACCCAATCCCACTCGTATACTTGTCCAACCCACGCTTGAAACAATCGAGGGACCCCACCTCCAGCACGTTACGCGGTAATTGGAGGGCAATTTCTCACACCGTTCAGTACACCTTCAGTACACCTTCAGAACACCTTCAGAACACCTTCAGAACACCTTCAGAACACCTTCAGAACACCTTCAGTACACCTTCAGTACACCTTCAGTACACCTTCAGAACACCTTCAGAACACCTTCAGAACACCTTCAGAACACCTTCAGTACACCTTCAGTACACCTTCAGTACACCTTCAGTACACCTTCAGTACACCTTCAGCACACCTTCAGTACACCTTCAGTACATCTTCAGAACACCTTCAGTACACCTTCAGTACACCTTCAGTACATCTTCAGAACACCTTCAGAACATCTTCAGTACACCTTCAGTACACCTTCAGTACACCTTCAGAACATCTTCAGTACACCTTCAGTACACCTTCAGTACATACTAGCCCAAAATACCCCTGGGATATTATTGTGGTACGAAGCGCTCTTCAGAGACTCGTACCACTAGGTGAGACGCAGGTACAGAAGATTGATTGATAAAGATTAAGCCACCCAAGAGGTGGCACGGGCATGAATAGCCCGTAAATAGGCACACAAGACGAGTGGGAATATAAATAAGGGAATAGAGGGAGAGGCTAAAGAATGGAAGAAAGGAGGGGTAGGGATAAGAGATGGGAAGGATTAAGCGAATGGATGAGAGAGAGAACATAAGAGATGTGAAGAGATATGTATTCAATGATGTAGAGGCTTAGATGAAACATTATTATTCACGCACAATGTGTAGTCACATAATATTATCTTGAGGTTATCTTGATGATTTCGGGGCTTTTAGTGTCCCCGCGGCCCGGTCCTCGACCAGGCCTCCACCCCCAGGAAGCAGCCCGTGACAGCTGACTAACACCCAGGTACCTATTTTACTGCTAGGTAACAGGGACATAGGGTGAAAGAAACTCTGCCCATTGTTTCTCGCCGGCGCCTGGAATCGAACCCAGGACCACAGGATCACAAGTCCCGCGTGCTGTCCGCTCGGCCGACCGGCTAGGTAGAGAAGACATAGCCAGCATGGGCCATGTCTTCTCTACCAGTCATAAGGCAGGCAGCTTCCAGACACAAAAGAATCTGGGAGTACAAGTCACCGTGGTGTAGTGGTAAGATACTCTGGCGTTCCGCGAGCGCTTTGTCCAGGGTTCGTATCCTGGCCGGGGAGGATTGACTGGGCACAAAACCTTAACTGTAGCCTGTGTTTAACTCAACAGTAAAATGTGTACTTGGTTGTAACAAGGATTCTTCGCGGCGGGGATCGTATTCCAGGGACTTGCCCGTAACCCTACGCGTACTAGTGGCTCTACAACAGTCTAACAACTCTTCTATATATCTAAAAAAAAAAAAGAATTTAACACCAACACTAGTCCGAGGAACACACAAAT